GTTTCCAGTCTTTCGCTTGCAAGAAGTTGACTTGAACATGTTGAGCTCTGCGGCAGCTGGCTTTAGGGACGATGGACGAACTCGTTTTGGTAAATACTACTTTGACTTCTGTTATGCTTCCACTTGTAACCCTGAGTATGGTCTTAAAGACGAGTTCAATTCTCCTTCTGTTGACTAGGATGCTTACTCTTAATTTCTTTCTTTAGTTTAGTTCTAGCGTTCACAACGGTAACCAGGCTTAAGGTAGACTGTAAAATATTCGTTTTTTTTTTGAAGTCTGCTGTCCTCGAACGTAAGGTCCAGAGCAGAGGCCAAAACGGTGAGTGAGACTGGGGAGAGACGCAGAGAGATTGATTATCTTCACTCGCTTCGGGCACGTTAAGCTTGTGTATAAATCGTTCTCAGGATCAACGCTTTCGGCTCGTCACGCCAAGCCAAAAGAAACCCTACTGTTTCATAGTTTACGCCCAGGGAATTGCCTACCTGGATAAAGTGTGGTGCCCTAGGGCGGGAGTGAAATGAATGGACGGTTTCAAGGGTGGACAGAAACTAGAAGTTACATTATTAAATGAATGCTACAAAAACAGTTAGAAGTTATTACTATTTGACTCTCAAGTTTTAAGAGAAAATTCATTGTTACAGAACTCACTGCTGTCTTATTCTTTGTGTACCCTTGAAAAACTTGCCGAAGCCCACTGGCAATCTTGGAATTTTGTCATTCCTATATGACTCGCACGGTGGTCACTATCACCATTACTATTCATTTGAGTGCTATTAACTATGCTCATGCCTTAATTATCATTTTTATTCCTCTTTTGTGTCCACAGCAAGAAAGATCGACGTTGACAATTTACTTTTCTGTGAGAAAAATATTGGTCCAGGAAGACGTTGCAATCCAGAAACGTGACTTTATAGTTTTCAGATCCGCGACCGTCACTGCACTTGGTGGGTGAGAGATTGCAAGTTCAACGTGCAATCTAAATTAGTATGCGAGGAATATGAGCACTTGTTCAATAGCATGATTTGCTACACAATTCGTTGTCCTTAAATGAATTGGAATGTCCCATCGTGAACGAAATAGTTCAAAATTGACTGCACATGGAGAAATAAAATACAGCTTAGAAAACTAAACTTGTTATTTTGTTAAACTTAACTTGTCGAGAATACGGAAAAACATCATTGTTCCTTTAGATTTTTTATCCCTTAAACGAATTCAGAACAACAAACAAAGCGGTAGTGGCACGTTTTATCTGAGATATGAATTCTTGGTCACCCCTACTGGCGAATCTATCTGCTTTTCACACATTACGGAACCAAAAGGTGGAAAAAAGAAAAAAACAGTGAAAAACTGCTTGATAACGCGGCGCCGGCATTAATTTAAGGACGTTCGCGTGAAAATTTTACAACATTGATTTTTCTCCTGAGACTTTTACCGCTGTAAGATAATGAGTTTTTTATGTCAGAAATGTAAAAAATGGGGGGTCACCGACTTTGTTTTGGAGAAAACAGGCCCAGAAGAACACCCTAAATCTGAAAAAATGGGGCTTCGTTAACGAATAAGGCCACAGTGTCTGTAAGCCCAAAAATATTGCAACTGGATCTTTGAAGTAAAATGTTCTCTGCCAAATATTGTTTAAGTGGACCTATTAAGTGAATTTAGTCAACTGGTGAGGTTCCTTAAAGACCAAGTTTGCATTTAGCAACCATAGTTTCACGCACCTTGCAGCCGCAAGATGGCAGGATTCGATGTCCCGTGGACAGAAATCTAGAATGTTTTTTTTAACTTCCCACATTGAGTTTTTGTTCATTTTTGGACAATGTGGAGATAATCGTAAATAAAATCTGTTTCTTGAAAGAAACGTAGAGGTCACCGAACGTCCAAGATCGTTAAATCCAGGCAAAGCTATAGCAATGGCCACCTGCCCTATCATTGTTCGTTTTATTACTTAGCACGCGCTCTCACGCATGACGTGGCGTGTGAATTTGCGTGCGCAGTAAGGATGCGCAGAAACAAGTAGCGTGAAAGTCCTTAGGGTAATTCCCCTGAAATAAAACGGCACATAGATTTTTGTTCAAACTTTGTCCAATGAATATTTATCATATGAAAACTTAGGTTATAAAATAAAAAAAGGGGTGCCCATACTCGTTAAGGAGCAGTGAGGCATTCAAAATTTCCCACTTTAGCGTTATTTAATGCTTATTACAAGAACGCATTCCAAGTTATAATTATCGTAAACTCTTCTTCTTATTTATTCAATTTTCAAACATAGAAATCAGATCAGTCTTTTCTCACTTTTGCGGAATCTCCCGCCGTGGCTGGTTCAACAAACACTTAGGACTGTATCTGTCGTTTTCTCCACTTTATTGCAGCTTCTTTCGTACATTCGTTCTGATCAATCTTATCGCTGTAATCGTTCTGACTTAAAATTACAATATTCACTACATTTTATTATCACTAACGTAAAAGCCTTGGCTACG